TTTTTTAGAATTGGTAGAGATATAAATGTTTTAAGATTTAGATTAAGGATTAACTTGTCATAAATGTCATAATTTAGGGGGGGACCTCTTTTGCAATATTTCTTTCAAAATAGTATCATTTACAAATCTGTCTAGTAAATCGAATCAAACCCACCACACCTTCCCCACTCCGGACTCCTATATCCTCACCGGCCTCACCCTTCAATGGCGGATTACGAGGCTGTCACCACCACCACCGCTTCCCACCAGCACCACAATGTAATACCCAAAGAAACAGCCCTCCAAGCCTTAAACACCATAATCCAGCTCCATTTCGAGAAAACCCTTGAAAAAAAACGAGCAGTAGACCTGCAAAAAAAGGAGCTATGGAAGCTCTTCCAGATCTTCTTCCTCTTTTTGGGCCTGGTTTTCCTCGCCCAATCCCAGTCCTCCCGCCTCCAATGCCGCCACTGCTGGGTCCCCATTGGGCTCCTTTCTTTAGCTCACTTAATCTTCTACGTGTCGGTGGCTCAAACCCTGAGGTGCATCAATGGATTCAAGTACCAGAGACGGTGCCACAAATTGACTCTTGGGCTGGCCACTGAACGGCTGAGGCAGCTGAAGATGAGAATTAGTAGCGGTGGAAATCCCAATTATGTAGATGAAATGGGGGAGGATTTTGAGATTCATTATCAGGAGCCACCGGAGAGTTATTTTGGTAAGTTTAAGAGGAATTGGGCTTTGCATTTTGGGTTTTTGATCTTGATTTATGGGTTCATGGTGTCTTCTTCTGTTGTTCTTCTTTGCTTCTAATTTGCCGGAAATTGATGTTTTTTCCTCCCTTGTGCCGGGGCGACGGCGGTAGACGGTATCGGTGGTATGTGATCTTTGATTAGTTTGATTGTAATGTGGATTAAGTGGATGTGTTAATTTTGAGAATATAACGGCAATATTCATCTAAATTTTTATTTATTTTTACATTATTTATTATTATTTATAACCTACGTGATGGAAATCATTGGTTCAAATCTGATTATCCGTAGACGCAATGTTACTTCTTCTATTTAGCCACC